AACCTGCTGAGAGTACACACTGGCTCTGTTCAAGGGAATCTGTCAGGCCTGAGAGGTCACAAATGATGCATCTCCTCAGTGAGCACAGAGCCCAGCTCCCAGGAGTGGCTTCTTTGGGGTTTGGAGTTTGTTCTTCTAGTTATATTTTTTACTGATTTGACATTGATTTTACACTCTCATAGTGTATCAAAGACTTCACATTATGAGGGTAATTCTCATCACTCCCAGGCACACAAAACTCTTTGAATATTCCATTTCCTGTCTTTCTACTAACCAATGTATTTTTCTCTGTATTGAGGACTTAATTTTGTTATATTTTGCCAGTTATTTTGCCAATTTATTTGCTTCAGTGATTCAGGTACCACATACAAATGAAACTGTATATAATTATTTTTACACTTCTTCATCTCATTTAGGGGCTGGAGCAATAGCACAGTGGGTAAGGCGTTTGCCTTGCAAGTGGCCAATATGGCTGACCTGAGTTCAATTCCTCTGCCCCTCTTGGAGAGCCCGGCAAGCTACTGAGAGTATCTAGCCTGCACGGCAGAGCCTGGCAAGCTACGCGTGATGTATTCGATATGCCAAACACAGTAACAACAAGTCTCACAATGGAGATGTTACTGGGCCTGCTCAAGCAAATCGATGAATAACGGGAGGACCATGACCGTGATCATCTCATTTAGCATAATCAGTACAAATTATCCGCAAAGTAAAATTATATCCGTTTTAATAACAGTGTTCCATATGTATACATAAGCACGTACGTTTCTTGAGTTATATGTATGTATATCTATCTATCTATCTATATACATATGCCATATCTTCTACATCTAGGATCTGTGGAGAGGAAGGGTGTTTATACCACATGAACTGTGCTCAAAGCTTATTCTTGACTCTGTGATCAGACATTATTCCTGGCAGTCTTAAAAAACCTCCACTGTACTGTGTTTTCAGATCCTTAGTCTGTGTTCTATCAATAGGCATATATTTCCACTGATTCTATGCCATAGCTATTGTGAACCTAGTGCTGTGAACATAAGCATGCAACTGTCCTTTCAGTTTAGAAGACTGCTTGATCATGTGGCATTTTCATTTTCACTTTTGTTAGAAATCTTTGTAAGGCACTTTGGTTTCCAAAGTTCCAATACCAATCCCACCACCTGTGTCAACTTCCCTCCCCTAATGTCCCCAGTTTCCCTTCCCTCAACCCTGCCTGACTCCTTAACAAGTAGACTCTTAAGATTCATTATTGTACATTGGACCCTATACTTATAACATTTTTCCATGGGCCTTAGATGTATACTCAGACAATACCTGTACATAGCAAATGCTTCCAAGGAAACAGCCCCTGCCGCTGTGCCCTTCTGCCCATGTTCCTACTTTTTGACCTCTCCATTTCTCTTATTTCTTGACTTTTTCATTACTATAATCTAGGAACAAGGATTTGCTCCACTTTCATAACTTGCTCTTCATATCATGTTCTTCTCTATACCAAAGATAAGTGAGATCACCAAGAATGGCAGAGTTTAGTACCAGGAATTTTACTCAATGACCTGGAGGACAACCACACATGTTAGGGGAAAAGGGAGCTCAGAAAGAGAAGGGAACACCAAATAAAGGGTGTTGGGAGGATCCTCCCAGGATGGGAGAAGCATACTGAAAGTAGACTATCGACCAAACATGATTGCCACTCAATGCCTCTTTTGCAAACCACAGCACTCAAAAGGAGAGAGAGGGAAATGCCCTGCCACAGAGGCAGGGTGGGATGGGGGCTGGGGGGCGGGAGGGATACTGGGATCCGTGGTGGTGGGAAATGCACACTGGTAGAGGGATGGGTGTTTGATCATTGTATAATTGAAACCCAAGCGCAAAAATGTGTAAGTCTGCAACTGTACCTCATGCTGTCTCACTATTAAAAATATAAATTAATTAATAAAAAAAACAAAGATAAGTGAGATCATTTGGTATAGGGCCTCCTCCGTCTGATTAACTCAATTAACATGCTATCCTCCACTTCCATCTGTGTTTCAGGGAATTACGTGACTTCATCATTCCTTGCAACTGCAAAGCATGCCATTGTGTATGTATACCATACCTTTTTTATTTATTCATTTGTCATTGAATGTCTGGGTTAAGTCCATATCCTAGCTATTGTACTAAGTGCTACAGTGAACAATAGAGCTCATATGTCCTTTCAAATGGATATGTTTTGACTTGGAGATAGAAAATTAACATTTTGGCTGGTAAGGCATAGATACTAACAACAAGTTGACTCAAATGGCAGCTTATCTTACTTTGATAAATTTCAGAATTACAAGAAAAAATTCCATATGTTTTCCATAGAAACTGGACCCAGCTGAGGAATCCTATTTTTAAATAGATTTTATTTGGAGAGTTTTTAAGGTTTGGAGGGGGAGAGAGTGAGAGAGAAAGACAGAGGAACACACTCAAGAGAGAATGCAGGCTTCTCCAAGAGAAGAGAGAACCCCTACACACATCCTAGCATTAGACACGAAAGCATGATGGGAGATGCGGGTGACACATGTGCTCAGGCACCACAGTGCTCGGCCATGTGGACGCAAGCAGCACATGGGCCGGGCAGCATATACATTAAGGATTCCTTTTTTTTTTTTAACCACATCATACCAATAGCTGTTATTTCCAGACATATATATATATACTCACAGCTTTCAGGTAATACATCACCATCATTTTTGTGTGTATGTTTCTCTAACTAAGGGAAAAGAGGCACTTTTTTCAGATGCTTTTTGATCATCTCTATGTCTTCTTTGTGGATGTGTCTGTGTCTATCTCCCTATTTTATCATTTTATGATTTAGTTACTGACTGGTTTTTATTCACTAGTTTGTTGAGTGCTTTAAAGATTTTGACTGTTCATCCTTTATGTGAAGTATTATGTATAAATATATTCTCACATTCAGTTGTGTGTCATTTTATTTTAACTATGCCATGCAAAAGTTTTTTAAATTCAGATAGTTGCACATGCTTAATTTTGTACAGTGGAATCAGGCCAATGGAGACCTCTTAGAGAAACATAAATCCTTTGATATTTACATCTTTCCTTTATATTATCAAGCGGTAGGGCGTTCGCCTTACAAGCGGCCAACATGGCCGACCCGAGTTCGACTCCTCCGCCCCTCTCGGAGAGCCCGGCAAGCTACCGAGAGTATTCGATATGCCAGACACAGTAACAACAAAATCTCCAATGGAGACGTTACTGGGCCCGCTCGAGCAAATCGACGATCAACGGGAGGGCCTTTACCTTTTACCTTTTTATCAACACTTAACTGATGTGTGTCCTTTTCCTTGTGCCCTCTGGATCATCTTTAAGTTAAGCAATTCAGTTCGCTGAATTGCTTAGATGGTGCTACAGTGGTTGCTGGAAAGGATCAGAGACATCAATTAAGATAAAGAGATAGAAGTGTGTGATTCTGCTGTTTTGTTTTGTTTTGTTTCTGTTTGCCTGTTTGTTTTATTTTTTCCCCTGGGAATAAAACACAGGACTTTACCATGGAAGGTATGTGTTGTAAAACTGACTGATAGCCCAAACTAGAGCTTGGTATTTTGAAAATAAAACAGAGAGAACAATGAAGAGATGATGGAAACTTGAGAATACAAGCAGAAGAGGGGAGAGTAGCCACGAAATAGAGCTGAGTTGATGAGAAGAGGAGTTTTTGTCTCACTTCCCTGTGGGTCTGGACCGCTGGGTGACAATTGCTGCTATAATCATAGGACAGACAGTAATAGTCTGCCTTGTCCTCAGGCTGCACCCCAGTGATGATCAGGTGTGCAGCGTTGGAGGAACTCTCAATGGCCCCAGAAAACCTATTGGTAACTCCAGAGGGTCTTTCATTGACTGCATAGATCACGTTTGTGCGGGAACTCCCAGAGCGCTGCTGGTACCAGGACACATAGTAATCACCTATGTTTCCACTGCTGCGAGTACAAGAGATGGTGACCTTTTTCCTCTGGAGACATGGGTCACAGATGGGATCTCACTCAGCACAAACTGGGCCTAACTCCCTGAAAGGAAAGAAAAGAAAGATCAATGAGACAGAAAGATACAGTTCCGGGAGAGGAGGGAGACGTCATCATCCTATTGCCACCCCTGCAAAATTCCAAGCAAGCACTACCTGTGCAGGAGTCCAGAGAGGTGAGGAGCAACAGAGTCCAGGCCATGCTGAAGACACCCCCAAGCTTTGTGACCAGGATTTGGCAGTCACACTCTGTCCGGAAGCCCTTTTTAGGACCTCCTATTCCACAAGGTGGGACGTTTTCATGCAAACCTTCCTCTTTCAGGAAGCCTTGCAAGCCCCTCCTTATAATTGGCCTAGACTCAAGCTGAGTAAAGAGAGATTAGAACAGGGAGAAGAATTTCTCCCCAACAGGGCAGGGTGACAGTTGCTGGGCATGAGATTCAAGACTACAGAACACTGCCCCCTGGTGGATACAGGAGAAATTTCACACCTGGGCCCCTGCAGTCCAGACATCGACGTTCTCCAATTCACATCCCTGAGTTTTCCAGATCATAACCAAGATTCTCTGCACTGCACTTAATCTCACTTTGCATTTTATGCTTTCTGACTGTGCAAATTGACCATGACAATGTGAGTTATTCTGTGGAATATCATAAGGTGAATGAGCTAATTCAAGGAAAGGGAGTGGTATCTGCACTGAATTTAACTCCAAGGCATGCTGGGACAAAGAACTTTCCACACTAGCAGAAACAAAGATTATGTGCACAAAATGTATGATCTACGATGCACCAAGAAACATTATGAACATTGAATCAAATGGAGCATGCAACATTTCTAATATATGTTGAATTACGCTGGCCATCATTTATTATAGATTTTTAGAAGAAAACTAGGTACAGATCTAACTGTTGGTTTGGGTATCAGTTCAACATGAATCTAGGAGCTGACTTTCCCATAACTGCACTAGTAACCGTTGAGTTCCTGAGCTCTATCTCTGAGTTCTCTAGGCTAAAACTCCAGTTTGGCTAATTGCAGGTGTAATGGTGCCAGGGATGATTAATGGTGAGACATTACACTGGGTATTTACATCTTCCTGGTAAGGAGCAAGTTCAGAGCTGAGCACCTGGGAGTCAAATGCAGGAGTTTAGCATGTCTAAGACAGGCTGAGCGGTGACAATGACACAGGCCACCTGGTTTTAATATCATGAATACATTTGATTTTTCCACACCGTACAAGTTACACAATATCACGACCTCCTTACACAGATGCAACTTTTATGTTAGTGCAGATCTGGAGCCATCAATAACAGGTCACAGCAGACCTATCAGAGGAAACCCTACAAGCCGGAAGGCAGTGGCGAGATATAGTCAAAAAACTCACGGAAATGAATGCTTCCCCAAGAATACTCTATCCGGCTAAACTCTCCCTCAAAATTGAAGGAACAGTACACTACTTTATAGATAAACAGCAGCTCAGGAACTTCATAGACTCAAAACCAAACCTAAAGCAAGGCCTAAAGGGGCTACTATAAGAAAAGATAAACCCTATAACCACAACACACCCGCACAGAAAGATGACACAAAAACCCATAACCTTTCTCTCTCTCAATTTCAACGGTCTAAATTCACCAGTTAAGAGACACAGAGTGGCAAAATGGATACAGAGACAGAACCCAAAATTCTGCTGCCTACAAGAAACTCACCTCAACAGCCAGAGCAAACACAGACTCAAAGTCAAAGGATGTTTGAGAAAATTTTTGACGACTGGAAAGGCCAGGCCTTTTGGGTGTGCTCATAGAATTCATTATGTATCTAATTATGAGCAAGCTTTATTTTATATTACTTCAATTAAAGCGGTGGAGTGAGAGCACAGTGGTAGGACATTTGCCTTGCACGCAGCCAACATGGCCTACCCGAGTTCGATTCCTCCGCCCCTCTCGGAGAGCCCGGCAAGCTACCGAGAGTATTCGATATGCCAAACACAGTAACAACAAAGTCTCCAATGGAGATGTTACTGGGCCCGCTCGAGCAAATCGATGATCAACGGGAGGGCCTTTACTTTACAATTAAAGGGATAGAGCACTAGCACAGCGGGTAGGGTATTTGCCTTGCATGCAGCTGACCCAGCCGACCCGAATTCGATTCCACCACCCTTCTCAGAAAGCTCATAAAGCTACCAAAAGTATCTCATCCGCACGGCAAAGCCTGGCAATCTTCCTGTGACATATTCGATATGCCAAAAAAGGTAACGACAAGTCTGATAACGGAGACATTACTGAGCCCACACAAGCAAATCGATGAACAATGGGAGGACAGTGCTACAGTGCTACAGTGCATTTCATAGCATATGTAAACTAATATATTTTAATCACTCACTTTAGTGGTGTTGAGGGAAAAGTAAATATAAAATATATAAAGATATCATAAAATTTAGGAGGTATTAAAATGGTCCATACTATTGCAAAACCTGTATTTCTTTTTGAAATTTTCCTTTAAATTATTGAGCAAACCTGCCATAGCTCACTAACAAGCTTGAGAGCCACATTTTTTTAAATTTTTTTTCCCTTTATTTTATTTTATTTTTTTTAAAGTTGTAGATTTACAATTTTTTGTGCTTTGGTTTCAATTATACAATGATCAGATACCCATCCCTCCACCAGTGCCCATTTTCCACCACCATGGATAATATCCCTCCCACCCCCATCCCCCCATCCCCCCTGTCTCTGTGGCAGGGCAATCCCCTGTGTTCTCTCTCTCCTTTTGGGTGTTGTGGTCTGCAAAAGAGGAGAGCCACATTTTTCCAATATTCCTGAATCCCAAATTGACCTTGTGAAAACACAGGCAAATATTTCCTGAAAAATATAGACAGTGTATTGGTTTTAAAAGAGATTATAGGAGGGCCAGAGCAATAGTACTGTGGATAGGACACTTGCGTTGCTTGCAGCAGAATCGGGTTCAATCGCTGGCACTTTATGATCACTTTGAGCATCCACCAACATGATCCCATGTCAGAAATAGAGCAGTAAGTCCCGAGCACCACATGTATGGCCACAAAACAAATCAAGAAAAACGGGGAAGGAGAGGAGGCTCTAATATGTTTAATAGTAACTATATTACTGGAACTGAAGACTTGTTGTTTTGCTCTATTTTATATAAAATGTGGTTCTACAAAAGGGAAGGCCCTGCCACAGAAGCAGGGTGACATGGGAGGGATGGGGGTGGGAGAGATACTGGGATCCATGGTGGTGAAAAATGGGCACTGGTGGAGGGATGGGTATTTGATCATTGTATAATCTAAACCCAAGAACAAAAATTTATAAATCTTCAACTGTAGCTCATGGTGTTTCACTAATAAAAATTTTTTTTAAAAAATTGGTTCTAAGGATAGTTTTGAGGATAACTTTTTAAAAATACCAATGATAGATAGGTTTAAATGATGTCAATTCTAGTTGTAATATGTTGAAAATCTCTCTAAAATGCCAGATATTTCTTGGGGGCCAGAGAGATAGCGTAGTGGGTAGGGCACTTGCCTTGCACCCAGTTGACACAAACATTCCATAGGTCCCCCGAACACTGCCAGGAACAATTCCTGAATGCCAAACCAGTGGTAAGCATCTCTGGGTGTGACCAAAAAACAAACCAATGAATAAATAAGTAATCAATCAATAAAATGCCAGATGTTTGAGTGAGAAAGTTAGGCTCTGGAATCATTCTTTCTGGGTTGATACTGACACAAGCCACAATGCTTGCAAGAGGCTTGTGCAACTGTTCTGCTGGAAAATGGTGCTGACCCCAGAGTGGCAGACAACAGTGCGAGACTGTTTTCCACTAAGCTGCCCTGGATCCAATCACATAAATAGAAGCAAAGTTTCTTTCTTATTATGCAGGCTATTGCTGCGTGGGTGACAGCTCTCCCAAGCTGGGTGTGGGGGAAATGGGAAGACAGTGAAACAATAGTCAGAGATATCAGCAACTCTTGGTAAAAGTCAGAAAAATTGGAAACCTTACACATTGAAGAAAGACAAGTAAGCCAGTGCAACTCTGGAAATATACATCTGACTGAGTTATGTCCCGGGAAGGGAGTTTCACGCCCACATTGACCAGACCAGACGTGAGGATACAAATGCAAGGCCCCTTTTTGCTAGCTTGAGCTAGGGTTCAAGTCTCATCCAATGCCGTGGAGTCTCGACAAAGACCCTGACCCAAGTTGCAGGAAACATTATATATCATTTTGTTAAATGAGAAATGTTTGGCAGTATCCCCAAGAATTGAGGTGAAGCAATCACAAGTCTGTGAGTTAATTGGTTATGACCACCTGCTGTGCCCAGAGATGTCCTACTTATCACAGGACTGGCTAGAGGCTTCTAGGGGATTTCCAGCCTCTGCAAGGACAGTCTCAGGGAATTCTTTAGGAGGAGGGGGGAGGGGAAACAGATATTTAGGTCTACTGCTTGTTTTGCTGAAGTACAGCCTGTCATGGCACCTATGAGGTGCTTTTCAACCTCACAACTGCTCTGATCATCTAGAATGTTACCAATTGGCTTGACCATTCTACCCCTTGAGATGAAAACTAACATTGAAATAAACAAAAACTAGTAAACCAATGCTTCTGCAACCCTTTGCATGAGAGCAAACAGATTATCAAATAGCAGAAATGAGCACCTTCAGCTGAACAAATCAACAAAATGTGGTATGTTGATATATACTGGAATATAATTCAGCAAAGATTCTTGGATATTTACTATGCTTAGTCCAGTTTACCAGCTGGAAAAATACAAATACTCTAACAATTTGCCCAAATGTGAAATAGAACCCCAAATAGGGAACAAACAAACATGAGAGTAAATCTTTAGATTTTGAGACAGTTTGGGGTTAGCTGGGGGGAGGGGTAGGAGCATGGACCAGGGTGGAAGTAGCTGACTAGGTGTAGATAGATGGAAATGAGATGTGAGGTGGCAGATATAGACAGTGTATACGGAAAGGAGGAGTGAAGCCACAACACTGAAACTTTTGAGGGTTGTAATCTGGTGTGAACTCAGTAGCAGAATACACTATTGTCCCATGTCACATCATGCATGGGTCTAGAAATATTGTATAATACAAATGTAAGTAAAGTAAAGGAGTTGCTAAGTACCAAATTTTTTCGAATCTATAATGTGAAATATCCAGAACAGGAAAATTCATGAGGATTGAACATGTATTTTGGTTTCTTTGGAGTGAGTAGGGTGAGATAGGATGAGAAGAATCAAAATGGCTTTGAACTTTCTTTACAGAATGGTGAAAATATTGAAAAATTAGATTTTGGTGTTGACTATGCAAGTCTATCAATTCATGAAGCACAATTGAACTGGGTACTGTAAGTGTGTTTAAACATGATTAATAAAGGTAACATCTCAACATAGCTATTAAACACACCCAGTCTGAGAAGGAGGTGCCGTTATTGACCCTGTTCAGTGGGTCTGAGCTCAGACACACTCAGAAAGTACAGGCTCCACAGCTCTGTTTCCTGTTTGGCACAGGCTGACATGTGGGGATCATTTAGACCATGCCTGGGTTTTTGTCTCACTTCTCCTTGAGTCTGAAGCACTGTGACATTGCTGATACTTTTGTCCCATGCAGAACAATAATAATCAGCCTCATCCTCAGGCTGCACACCCGAGATGGTCAGAGTGGCCTTGTTTCCAGATTTCGAACCAGTGAACCGAGCTGGGATCCCTGTAGGTCGAGTACTTCCAACCATCACAGTTTTGGGGGCAGCACCAGCACCAGGAATCTGCTGGTACCAGCCTGTACTATAGGAACCGACATTGTTGTTGTTTCCAGTGCAGGAGAGGGTGACTGTCTGTCCCACAGACCCTGACACTGAGACTTCCTGAGTCAGTCCAGTCTGCGCCCAGGAGCCTGAAATGGAACATGGGAGACACAGAGGTGAGACAGTTACTAGCCACAGCCTGTTCTCAAAACAAAGCATTTTCCCACCACTGCAGCCCGTCAACCCAGAGCATGGTCTCCAGCATAATCATTTCCCCAAGTTCCCACTATCAGTCACCTGGGTACTGAGTTAGCAGGAAGAGAAGGACAGGAGGCCAGGCCATTGCAGAGACACCCTGGACTCAGATTTGGAGCTCACAAGGGAGAAAACTGCACAAAGTCCCTCTTATCTTTGTCCCCTAATGAAAGAGCAGAAAGGAGCCCTTTATGCAAATCACCCCCTACCCCATCTGCCCCTGGGCCTACATTTGGTGAAAGCTGAGGTGGAGATGGAGCTGGGGCAGCCTCCAGGGTGCTAGAGGTCACAGTTTGTAATCCCCAGGGAGTGCAGAGCCCCAGGTGACAATTTGAGACTGAGTTCCCCAGAAGGCTCAAGAACAAGCCCACAGCACCACCTGCTGAGTCAGAAGATCACCACAGAGATCATACAATGTGCAGGCACTAACCTAATTGTCAGCTGTCCACAGACAGCTGACCACAACAGCTCCTAAGCTGAATCTAAGGAGGAGATACTGAAGTTTCTAAACTTCCATATTCAGTAGGTCATTATACTCTTAGGACACGATCTATATCAACCTCTGAGTGCCATGTGAAGTGTCTAAAGCGTTCTAGGAAAAGTTATTGAGCTTGTTGAAGGTACTCAGCTTCATTGGTGCATCCTCAACCATCCCCTGAACCTGATAAGCACTGGGGTGGCAAGTACACAGAATAGATTTAAGGTTTTTTTCTGGAGAGGTGTCCACTCTTGGAATGAACGCTTACTCACAATTTACTGGGCTTTGAAGTCAAGCAGGGACACTTGACACAAGAGTCAGAAGCTGTCCAGAAAACACATGTGGCCAAGCCTGTCTGGGTACCTAACATCTCAGGAAGATTTAGAATCACCAAGGAGCCAAAATGTGTTTCCCTTGTTTGAAGTGCATACTAGTGTATTTTGTATACATACCATAATTTAGTAATCCATTCATACAAAGTTGGGAATTTGGGTTGTTTTCACACCTTGGCTATTGCATTAAGAGCGACAATAAACTCTAGAGTGCATATTTCCTTTGGGATTAATGTTTCTGTGTTTTGCAGATAGATGCCAAGAAGTATATCATAGAGTATATCATATCAGTATATCACAGAGTAGTTCTATGCTTATTTTTGATGGATCTACATATTAGTTTCCACAGAGACTGAACAGAAGGAAACTCCCAACGTGAGTGTTTGACAATTCTTTTATCACCACAACTCTTCCAACAATGGCTATTTCCAGAAATTTAGATATAAAAATAGCAGTTTGTTCGAACATTAAGTTTCTAGGCAACATCCCTGAGTGGGACAAGTTTTTCCTATCATTCCTCATCTTTCTGTGTCCCTATGATAGACCCAATTGTATCAGTTGTGTCTACCTTGTACTTAGCCTTGTACTTAGGCTGCAGCCAGAGATGAGCAGAAGCCCTACATTGGTCCACAGAGAAGGGTCTCTGGTTTCTGTTGGTACCAATACATGCAGTTACCATCAACACAGAAGCCACTGCTCAGGGTGCAGAATAGGCTGATGCTCCTAAAGATACAGACAGAGTGTTGGTAGCTGAGCCAGCAGAGGCTGGAAGAGGAAATGTGCAAAGAGGCAGGTCATGTGATAGAGCCCAGCATTATTTCTTGGATCAGACTTACAGGTTAAATCAGGCTGAAGGGTCCTATCTATCACCCCAATACCTGATCCATCTATGCAGCGAGAAAGAAGACTGAACAGGTGTTCAGGCCATCATACACAGAGACCCTGATTCCACAGTAGGACTGGTCTGACCTAGCCTCTCTTTCTTCCCTACTCTCTTCCCAATCACAAGCTCATCAGGAAAAAGAATTTCCACCCAGTGACTTTCCACATCCTCATTGATCCCTGGTACTAGAGCTCAGCTCACACCCAGGCCCCGGTGGACAGAGATTTGCTTAACTTTTAGGGAAAGCCCAATAAGGAAGCACCTGCTGAGAGCACACACTGGCTGTGCTCAGGGGAGTCTGTCAGGCCTGAGAGGTCACAGCTGATGCATCTCCTCTATGAGTATGGAGCCCAGCTCCAAAAAGTGGCTTCTTTGGTGTTTTGAGTTTGTTCTTCAAATTAGATATATTTTTTCTATTTGCCATTGGTTTTATACTCTCATGGTACATCTAAGTCTCCTCTTTATAAATATAATTCTCATCACTCGCACACACAAAAAGCTCCTTGAATTTTCCATTTTCTTTCTTTCTGCTAACCAACATAGTTTTCTCTGCACCTATGACTTAATTTTGTTACATTTTGCCAGTTATATATCAAAGTTATTTGCTTCAGTAATTCAGGTTTCATACTAATGAAACCGTATAATAATTACTTTGTACTTTTTCATCTTTTTTAGCATAATCAATGCAAGTTATCCCAAAAGCAAAATTACATCAGCTTTAATAAGTGTTTCATTTATGTATATATAAGCATGTATATTTGTTGAATATAGAGTGGAGAGATAGCACAATGGTAAGGCATTTGCCTTGCATGCAGCTGACTCGTTCAAGCTGGATTCTATTCCTCCGCCCTTCTCAGAGAGCCCAGCAAGCTACCGAGAGTATCTTGCCCACAGGGCAAAGCCTGGCAAGCTACCTGTGACATATTTCATATGCCAAACTCTGTAAAAACAAGTCTCACAATGGAGACATTATTGGGCCTGCTGAAGCAAATCCATGAACAACGAGAGCACAGTGCAGTGCTCTCTCTCTCTCTCTCTCTCTCTCTCTCTCTCTCTCTCTCTCTCTCTCAATATATATATATATATGCTACATCTTTTTAAGCGTAGCTTATAAGTATATGATTTGTGAAGAAGAATGGTGTTTATGCCACACCTGGTTGTGGTCAAAGTTTATTCTTGGATTTGTGATCAGAAATTATTTCTGGACACTCTTTCACTGTTCATGGGAATTCCCACTACTCCAGCCTTTCTGGAAAACAATATGGACAGCCCTTCATAAACTACAAAGTGAACTTCCATGTGACCCCACAATACCACTTCTGGAAATACATCCCGAGGGCGCAAAAAAGCACTTCAGAAATGACATCTGTACCTCTATGTTCGTTGCAGCACTGTTCACAATAGCCAAAATCTGGAAACAACCCAAGTGCCCTAGAACAGATGACTGGTTAAAGAAACTTTGGTACATTTACACTATGTAATACTATGCAGCTGTCCGCAGAGATGAAGTCATGAACTTTGCTTATAAATGGATAGAGATGGAGAGTATCATGCTAAGTAAAATGAGTCAGAAAGAGAGGGGCAGACATAGAAGGATTGCACTCATTTGTGGAGTATAAAACAACATAGCATGAGGCTGACACCTAAGAATAGTAGATACATGTGACAGGTAGATTGCTCCACAGCTGGAAGCCTGCCTCATGAGCAAAGGGGAGAAGGCAGCTGGAACAGAGAATGGATCACTAAGAAAAAGATGGCTAGAGGAATCAATCAAGATGGGAGATGTGTGCAGAAAGCAGATAAAGGATGAAACATGATAACCTCTCAGGGTATGTATTGCAAACCATAATGCCCAAAAGGAGAGAGAGAGTATGGGGAATGATGTCTGCCATGGAGGCAGGGGGACAGTGGGAAAGGGGAGGTATACCAGGAATATTGGTGGTGGGGAATGTGCACTGGTGGAAGGATGGGTGTTTGATCATTGTGTGATTGTAATCCAAACATGAAAGCTTGTAACTCTCTCAAGATGATTCAATAAAATTTTTAAAAAAGAAATTATTTCTGGCAGTGTCAAGAAACCTTCTCCTGTGTCTATACTGTGTCTTCAGCCCCTGAGTCTAGTGTTCCATCAATAGGCATATATTTCCGCTGATTCTATGCCATAGCTATTGCGAAGAGGGGGCTGTGTACATGAGAGTGCAACTGTCCTTTCAGTTTAGCAGCCTGCTTGATTATGTGGAATTTTCATTTGGATTTTTGTTAGAAATCTTTGTAAGGTCCTTCTGTATCCAATGTATCAACATCAATCCCACCACCTGTGTCAACTTCCCTCCACTAATGTCCCCAGTTTCCCTTTACCCACCCCAGCCTGCTTCTTTAACAAGCACATTTTCAAGATTCATTGTTGTGCATTGGGCCCCATGCTTACAACACAGTTCCCTGCACATTAGATGTATACATATGCAATACCTGTACATAACCAATGTTTCCAAGGAAACTGCCCCTGCCCCTGTTTCCTTCCACCCATTTTCCCTTTTTTTCAACCTTTCTATTTCTTTCCTTGCTTGACTTTTTCATTACTGATAATCTAGGACCAAGGATTTACTCCATTTTCATAACTTGCTCTCCATATCACGTCCTTCAATATATCAAAGATAAGTGAGATCATTAGGTACAGGCCTCCTCCTTCTAATTTAATTCACTTAACTTACTATCCTCCACTCCCATCTGTGCTTCAGGTAATTGCGTAACTTCATCATTCCTTACAACTGCAAGGCATGCCATTGTGTATGTATACTACACCTTTATTATTTATTAATTTGGCATTGAACATTTGGGTTAATTCCATGTCCTAGCTCTTGTAGTAAGTGCTGCAGTAAACAATAGTGTTCACATCTCCTTTCAAATGGATATTTTCGTGTCTAGGAGATGGAGGATTAATATTTGGGGGGATAGATACTAACAACAAATTGACTCAAATGGGAGCTAATTGTACTTGTTTGATAAATTTCAAACTTGTAAGAGAAAATACCATATGTTTTCCATAGAAACGATACCCAGCTGACACTCAGAGAAACCATGAATGAGGATTCTTCTTTACCACATCACATCAATAGCTGTTATTTCCAAAGATATATACATTTGTCTGTATATATACATATATATATATATATATATATATATATACTTTACAGCTCTGAGTTAATACATCATTGTCATTTTTATTTCTGTTCCCCTACCCAAGGGAAAGAGGCACTTTTTTCATGTGTTTTTTGGTCATGTTTATGTCTTCTTTGTGGATTTGTCTAACTCTTCTCCCATTGAATGGGTTTGTTCACTAGTGAGTGCTTTAAAGTTTTGAGTGTTAGTACTTTATCTGAAGTATTATATATGAA